CTAAAGTGACGGTAGACCCTTTCAGGAGATGAACTCCCTTCGTCAGAGCTAAAAGAGGATGAAGGGAGTTCATCTCCCGAAACGCGTTAACCTACCTCACTAAGGGTCTACCATCACATTGGACTGTCATTATGGACTCTTCTTGTCTGTTTTCATCCCCCTTTGGTTTGTGAGTATGCGTTTTTATGCTTCATAATAAATTCTTGGTTTACTACGTTAATGCACGAAGAGAGTGTGCCCTGTTTTTCTTTTGTTCATCAGCTCAACAGAATTTAATTGTTAAATCCACTTTTTTCAAAAGAACATGATGGAAAATATTCAGTTGACCAGTGGTTGCAGCTGCTGATCAGTGTATTCTGACAGCTGCAGGTGCTGCTATCAGAATACAATGTTCCGACCAGGGGCGCACTGACTATTGGGGAACTTGGACACTGCCCGAGGGCCCGGGGTCAGTAGGGGGCGCCATGAGATGTGCCTGGTACTTTTCATAGGCTTTTTTGGGTGCGGTTTGAGTGTGGGCGAGGACACAGGGGCCCCATGATCCCCTATTGCTCGGAGACCCCATGAGTTGTCAGTCCACCCCTGGTTCCGACAGGGAGGGATACATTACTTCACTTTGTGTGGATGGAAGAATCTGTTAGTTTTTTTCATTCAGCCTGCTGTATGAATGAAAGCAATAACTAACTATATATGGCCAGGTTTACTCTTTTAGGCTAGGTTCACATCTGTGCAGGTGGTGCCGCTGCGGATCCACGCAAAAATCTGTGCAGCCCACACAGAGAAATGTGGACCCATGGGCGGGTGCTATTAGTTCCAATGGCACGTCTCCCGCACTGGAAAACGCAACCATACTGGGAACCGAGGTTCCCGTGCGGACTGCATTTTCAGAAGAAGTGCAGGGACTTCTTCCCTGCGTGTCACGGGGCACGGGAGTCCATTCAAATTACTTGGCTCTCGTGCCCATGCAAAACACGGCCCGCACAGCCGCATATATGTGAACCAGGGGTTAGAGTCTAGGTCATGGTCAAGCTAAGGTGTTCCAAAACAACAGAAATGAATGTCTCTTGTTAATGCGTAATTTGTGCAAACTATGGACAGCGCCAAAAACGAAATATATATATAAAATATTGTGAAAAAAAGCGGCAAAACCTAACCTCATAAAGTGTATATATAAAATTAAAAAACAGTTTTGCGCTAGTAATATCACAAAAAATTATAATAAAAATACTGCTTAATTATATTGTATAAATCAATAAAAATATATATATTTAAAAAAAAAAGTCCTTAATTGTGTCAAATATAATGTGCAAATGTCCAACACCAAAAATTAAATAATCAAAATCTTCTATTCCATCAATCTTCGTGTGAAAACACAAAACCACCGTGCACAAATCCACCCCCGAATAGATTGAATGAACTCACCAGAGCAATATGGTGGTCAGATTATAAACCAGCACAAGCTCTTCTGCTCTGGGAGCAATGGTTTGCAGATGAATCTCAGCATCTATGGGACAATTCAGTATGGCACACCCCTCTTCATAAAACCCGAATATCACTCAGAAAGCAAGGGAGGAAAAACTCATAATGTAGCAATGTAAAAAAAGGAATTTATTTAAAACATCTCATTGCACTTACAATAACTGGTGTCCGAGCCGACACCAGCATAAACATCCTTCACAGCAATTTCATACAGTCTCCTAAGGCATCCACAGACGCCGACAGCTCGCCGAACGTCACCTCGGGCGGAGCTTGTGGAGATGAAATGCGTAAATTGTGCAAAAGGAAAATGTGTTAATATGTGAATATTTTATAGGTCCTACATGGCAACTATCCTGGACTGGAGCTTCACCAATTCAATACCGGGCAATTTTACCCCTTCCTGCCCAGGCCAGTTTTCACGTTTCAGCACTCTCACACTTTGAATGACAATTGCGCGGTCATACAACATTGTACCCAAACTAAAATTTTATAATTTAAATTTGGTATTTAATCACCGCTGGGGTTTTTATTTTTTGCTAAATTAACCAAAAAACACCAAAAAGTTTGAAAAAAAAACCACACTTTTTTTTTTTTTCTGTTATAAAAGTTTACAAATAAATAATTGTTCTTCATAAATTTAGGCCGAGATGTATTCTGCTACATGTCTTTGGTGAAAATAACCCAAATTAGGATGTATTATTTAGTTTGTAGGAAAGTTATAGAGTTCACAAACTATGGTATAGATCTGAATATTGATCAATCCTAAAGTACTGACAGCCAATCTAATTTCTTGAGGTCCAAGAATGTCAGAATAGTACAGATATCCCCAAATGACCCCTTTTTGCAGAGTAGACAGTCCGACGTACTTCATAAGAGGCATGGCGAGTTTTTTGAAGTTGTATTTCTTTTGTCATAATTTTTCGGAAAATGAAAAAATTAAAAAAATTATTTTCACTATTTTTTTTTTTACATACTGTCACCAGTGCAGTACAGCATCATCATATAACTGGCATGGCGGTGATCAGGGACACTGACTGGTGACAGTATGAAAAAAAAAAAAAAAAATATATATATATATATATATTTTTTTATTATTTTTAATTTTTTATTACATTTTTTTTATTTTTTTAAAGATTTTTTTTCATATTTTACTATGACCAAAGTAGTACAATGTTACCATAGTAACATTGTACTACTTTGGGAAAGTGATCAGTATTTTTTTTTTTTACACAATTTGCTTATAGCAAAGAATTACTTTGCTATAAGCAAGCATTTACCTGAATGAAATCGATTCATTCAGGTTTTTTTTTTTTTTTTTGTGGTTAGCTGTGATTTGGCCACAGCTAATCACATGACATGTGCATGTGATTAGCTGTGACCATTCACAGCTAGGCACTAGTATACAATGGATGGCATGAATGAAGCCATCCATTGTATACAACTGTCATGTGACCTGCTGTGATTGGTCACAGCAGGTCACATGGTACCGGCAACGGGGGCCGGTACTCAGATCTGTCATCGGCCATGTCCGAGGTACACGGCCGGTGACAGATCGCGCCGCTGCGTGGCTCTGCAACCGCGCGAACTGCGCATGTGCGGGAGCACGCCAAATGGCGTGCACCCAGAAAGCTAAAGCGTTTTTGAGGCCGCCAAACGGCTATAGGCCGGGCGGCTAATGGTTAAAAGACTCTCTTTTGGTGAGGATGCAAAGTCCTGATATGCATACTATGTCCAGAACATCTGCACTTGCTGATCTTTTCTGTTGCCAACTTTTACCTTTACTTTACTTTTTAGGAGAAAAAAAGTTATAAAGTAACTTTCAAAACCCTTCACTGTGAGGAGACATTTTTATTCCCATTATCATAAGAGCACTTAATTGTCTTAAGACTACCTGTGCATCTGATAGTACTTCAAAATTCAACTTTATAATCTCCGATATAATGATATAATGTATATGTCATTAAACTAATGTTTTTCTTTAGTATAGGAGTCAGTCAAGTTAATGTATAGCAAAGGGCACCCGATGGACTGAACTGACGTTTGTTTTTTTTTTTTTTTTTTTTTTAATGCTGTGAACTAATTGCATTGCTTTGAAAGCTCTTCAGTTTCATTATAATTATGCAAGTCAACGTTCATAAGAGCTTAATGAGTTTGTCGTCATAGATGGAGGTCAGTGGGGATCTACTAAAGGCAAATGAAATGTTTGTACTGGAAACCACAAACAGATTGTTATGACTGATTCCCGACAATAGAAGGCAATTGCAGTCAAACACACAGTTGAACGATATGTAGAGAAACTGTTTGCCAAATGATTTTTAAAGTTGATTGAAGTCACAGAAATGTATATTCAGTGTAGACAGCATGGTAACATCTTCTGTTTTTTTTGTCCTACAACTTCTGTTTTTATGGTCTTACCCGGGGCGGACTGACAACTCATGGGGCCCCTGGGCAATAGGGGATCATGGGGCCCCAGTGTCCTTACCCAAACTCAAAAAAGCCTATGAAAAAGGTACCAGGGGCATCTCATGAGGCCCCCTACTAAACCCGAGCCCTCGGGCAGTGCCCGAGTTTCCAAATGGTCAGTCCACCTCTGGTCTTACCTCTACTTTCTAGATTGTCTAATAGTTAAAAATGAATTACACACTTCTGACTTAACTTAAGTAACCCCTCTGTTGTCCTGGAGGCCTCCATTTTGAACTCCCTGGAGGCCCTTCAACATTTGCTTTTTTGAGGTCTTTGAGTTCCTTATCCACTGACCCCCCTCGTGCAAACTACTATTACAGCTTGGTTGTTGAGTTGTAAATGGGAGTCCACAGAACCCCCCTCACCTTCTCCTCTTTCACCCTACTATGGAATAATCCCACTCTAACCAACTTTTTCATGCTTCCAGACCACCCACAATTGGACTAAATTTAAGATCAAGACCTTGGGAAGCATTGTTGTGCATGTGTCACTGATGCCCTTCAAAACTCACTGTTTTAAATATAACTTACCCACATACTGCCAGTTTTTGTATTTGCTCATGCTTTCCACACTCAATTTTCTCACTGTAGCCTGTCTCTGGGCCGCTCTCCGCTAGAAATAAACATGATGCGCGATGGCCAATATCGTAAGCTGACCTCCTCACTGTACCAACACCTACTTTTTGACACCCTTCTCAATCTCTCCAGAGTAAATGGCTAAGAGATGTACCAGACATAGATGATGAAGATTGGTCTGACATCTGGGATTTGTCATTCTAGTAACTGGTATCAGCCAGACAGGTTAATCCAGTTTTCTCCACAGAGTTTAATTCACTCCTCACAGTCTCTATAAGCTTAATCCCTCTTTACCCCCCACATGTTGGAGATGTCATCAGCCTGATGGAGATTTCCATCTTCTAGACTTGTCTTTCACTGAGCTGAGGTAGTCAATGTTATAAATGCAGTTGCTCAGCCTTTTTCACCCTAGACCCCGAGTTATGCCTGTTGGGTCTGGTAGCGCTCATAGTCAGTTAGTCTTTGCAGCAGAGAAGAATTGTCATGTCTGGTCGCGGTAAAGGAGGGAAGGGTCTGGGGAAAGGCGGCGCCAAGCGCCACAGGAAAGTGCTCCGGGACAACATCCAGGGCATCACCAAACCTGACATCCAATGTTTGGCAAGCAGAGGGGGAGTCAAGTGCATCTCCGGACTCATCTATGCTCAAAGCATTCCTGGACAATGTCATCCGCGATGCCGTCACCTACAGCGAGCACGCCAAGAGGAAGACCGTCACCGCCATGGATGTCATCTAGCTCTCAAATGACAGGGACACACTCTCTATGGATTTTAAAGGCAAATCCTCATAACCGCCCCGCTTCATCGTCCATAGCCCCCAGAGTAGCTGAGAGAACGCTGTTAAAACTGCTACTGTACTGTGCCAGAAAGTCGATAACTCTGCACTGGAAAATGGCTGCCCCTCCCTCCGTTATCGGAGATAGAGATTTAAACTAGGGTAGTCAATGTCCCTTTAAGTGCAGCGAGGAATCTTCTGTGCGCTTGTTGGGGCCCAGTTGGTGCACAAGCAGAAAGAGATGAAGGTGACAGTCCCTCAAAGGATTATTGCAAGGAAAGGAAGAAAAAAGGACAAATACTATCCCTTCAAGTGGCACTTGACTCGGGTGGTGTCCCTTTTAATGCACTGAACAGATTACAAATTTCGGCAGAAAGGTGGCAGAAGTTGGCAGAAGCATTTTCTGGAAAAAAAGGGCAACTCTGCTCTGGGCTGCAGCAACCAATGGCAATAGTGGTAGAGGTTCCTTTTAAGAGGGTAGGCCAGTGGTTAAGGGAGCACTGATGTGATTTTGCCTGCAGAAGGCATGCACTGTGGTCAGCTCTGATGATTGGGCTGTGCTGCAAATGTGCTCAAAAATTGCGGCCGGGGGAACTATATGCAACTGTAGCAAATATGAGAAGAACGTCAGTGACTGGAGTATGGGACTCTCTCACCCGATCAGTGTCTTCCAGCAGGTCCTGGCTGTCTCTCTCTCTCAGCAGATTGGGACCCCCTCAGTTTCTCTGGGCTCACTTGCAGTGTTCCGTCCGGTCACTGTTCTCAGGGTCACCTGCAGGAAGACTGTTTTGCTAAACATGGTGGCAAGGCTAGCGGTCAGCGACTCCTCCTTGCTTCTCCTCTCTCCAGCTCTGTGGCCTGGTCCAGTTCTCAGGCAGTCAGCACAATTCTCTCTCTCTCCACTTTTGCTCTCTACCCTCTCACTTCCTGTACAGTCTTCCAGACTTCTGTATATAAATGCCCCTGCCCACACACCAGATCCACTGGGAAATGTAGTCCTCTGGTACACTGCTCCTCAGCAAAGTACTGCAGTTCAGCATACAAGGGCCATTGGGCTGTTCTACAAAGTGTGAGTGCCACTGAATTGCAGGACACTGCCACCCTGTGTTTCTATTAACATCCTGCAACTTGCATTATAGCAGGGTGTTACATAAAAGTAAAAACAGATTAAAAAAGAATTAATTCACACTCTACTAGGCACCAGAATAGACCTTCTCTATCCATTGCACGCTATTATCTAACTGAACTGAACAGACACGCACTGGTCAGAAATACCCTTTTCTCTTCTTCTGCACTACAAGATTTTGGGAGGATGTTTTATGGTGACCATCTATGGCAGCATAGAGCTCTAGTGCCCATAGGTAATAAATGTACTCATTTCATTCAATGCATGTTGATGCATCAAAATATACACTTCTTTGGCAATGAGATACAAGACAAAGTATATCTTTTTCCCTTGTGGTGTGCTAAGGGTTAGGTATGTTTGTGTAGAGCTTACCCCCAAACGGGCACCTGAAAATGTACCCAGGTCTCCCACAATGGTACAGAGGCTGCCAGGCACACAACCTTGTTCTCTCGAACACTGACAATTGAGGCTCAGTCTAGGGCACATGTGTCAAACACAAGCAAGCCTAATCCTTTGGCAATCTTCTCCAGGCCCTCAACCCATCAGCTGCTGAGGCCCAGATTCTCTCAGTGTTTCTTCTCCTAGGGGCAACAGCCCCGGGAGGTTTGGAACCCTCTATGACGAGGAAAGAACCCCCTGGCAAGCCTTCCTAAACATTTATCACTTCCCCAACCACCTTCAGGATGCCTCCTTCTGGGGATTGGCTAGAGCGTGAGAAATATTCATACTGATCGTTTGAATCTCCCAGCCCTATACTCTGGAAACGTCTGTCAGAGGCAGTTAGGAGGAATCAAACTCTCAGCTCAGGAAACCTTGAATAGACCAAAACAATAAATCACTGCGCCACTCACTATAGTGGAGCCAAAAACTAAATGTAACATAGCAGCCTAACTAGAGGAGGGTGCTGTGTTGAGCATGTTTTTTAAAAATGGTTCCTTAAAAATGGATGGCCATACACTGAATATTGTTCTCAATAATGTGCGCTACAATATGAGATTTGTAGTTTTGGATGGAATATGAAAGAATTAGAACTCATAAGTTTTCATTGCAGTCTTTGTCCCCTCTGGGAGGATTCAGAATCTCTTATCATATCACGACTTGACTACTGTAACTGCCTCCTTGCCGGCCTACCCCAACACAGGCTATCCCCGCTTCAGTCTATCCTGAATTCTGCGGCCAGACTCATCCACCTTACCAACCGCTCCATATCCGCCACCCCCCCCTCAGCCAATCCCTCCACTGGCTTCCGATTGCCAACGGATAAAATTCAAAATATTAACATTGATGTACAAAGTTGTTTATAACACTGCCCCAAACTACATCACCGACCTGATATCCATCCACCACCCAAAACGCACTCTCCGCTCCTCACAAGACCTCCTTCTCTCCAGTTCCCTAGTCTCCTCCTCCCACGCCTGTCTCCAGGACTTCTCCAGGGCTTCCCCCATCCTCTGGAACTCACTACCCTAATCCATCAGACTGTCACCTACCCTCCTCACCTTTAGGCGCACCCTGAAAACCCATCTCTTTAGAGAAGCCTACCCGCCCTCACCTAATTGCTGATCTCCTCCGCTCTTCCCACCACTCCATCCCCCACAGCTATTTCCTCCTGTACCACTATCCCCTCCCTCCTAGATTGTAAGCTCCAAGGGCTCTTGAACCCCTCGTGTATTGAATTGTTACTGTACTGTCTCATGTTCTGTCCCCCTTGCTATTGTACAGAGCTGAGCAAACTGTTGGCGCTATATAAATACTGTATAATAATAATAATAATAATAATAATAATATTGGTCACAGGACAAAAAGTGATGGAAAATCCAAGATTATACAGATATCTCCAGAAAGAGAGGTGAGAGGACACCTGTTCTGAACACAATAATCTAAGAGGGGGTTTTGCCTAGAAATTTCTTTTCATTTACTGCTGTGTTTAATGGGACATGGACAGCAAATATATGTGGCCTCATGCTATTCCCCTCATTGGCATCAGGGTTGGAGCAATATTCCTCCCACTGACACCAATGATATGGGACTATTCCTGCAATTGACAATGATTATTGGACTCTATTCCTTTCACTGACATGAATGATGGGGCACTATTCCTTCCACTGACACCAATGATAGGGCTCTATTCCTTACACTTACACCCATGATAGGGCACTATTTGTTCCACTGACACCAACGATAGGGAAATATTCGATCCACTGACACCAATGATTGGGCGCTATTCCTTACACTGATACCAATGATAGGTGAATATTCGATTCACTGACACCAATGATTGGGCACTATTCCTTTCAACTGACACCAATGATAGTGTCCTATCTTTGATGTAAGTGTAAGGAATAGTCCCCTATTTGTTCCACTGACACCAATGATAGGGGGATATTCGATCCACTGGCACCAATGATAGGGGATATTCGATCCACTGACACCAATGATAGGGGAATATTCGATCCACTGACACCAATGATTGGGCACTATTCCTTACACTGACACCAATGATTGGGCACTATTCCTTACACTGACACCAATGATAGGGCACTATTTCTTACACTTATACCAATGATAGGGCACTATTCATTCCACTGACACCAATCATGGAATATTATTCTATCCACTGACACTGGTGATGGGGTACTATTCTATCCACTGACACCAGTGTTTAGGCACTGCTCCTTCCACTGATACCAACAACAATTCCTCCTTCTGACACCAACACTGGCAATTTTTTTACTCCCACTAATTCTGAAGCAATTTCTGCCTTCATTGACCAAAGTCTAACCTCCCTAAAGTCTGGCCCATTGTTTAGAAAGATTGAGGACTCCTGCAGTTTAATGCAACTGCCACCAACAAACGTGATATGGAATCCTTAGTACTAAGTGGACCTGTATGGGTAAAAAACTCACTTTATAGCAGGCACAATAACACTGCTGCACCTACCTTATCCATGCTATTTTGCCATCCAAGTTTGCCTATGTCACAGATCCATCCGGGACAGGGGCTTTTGGAGGGAACTGCAGGCTAGCCTCTTGCCTACTGACCATGGCTCTGGCACCTGATGGGGCTCTATTCATTGGTTGGTGTCTGGGGGGACCTTTGGAGTAGTTTACTTTGGATTCAATTCCATGTCTCCCCATAACACGCAGACTCTGTGAACTGGAGGACCAGGATACAGAATTGGGGTCTCTGTGCCTAAACCCGCATTGACTGCTTCAACCCACCCCCCCCCCTTCCTAGACTCAGAGACTCTAAGAAGATGGTGATATAATCAGCTCAAAACAACCTGATGCTGAGGACTCTAATCTGTTTATTAGGATGTTATGTGTTTCCTATCTTCTCCCATTGTGTGCCTCCTAGGTGTGCATCCCCATTGTTAATTGAGTTAATTGAGTCACCTATTGGTTGTCTGTTGGCAAGTCCTTCTGGAGGTGCCTACATGATAGGATTAAACTGATGTCAGTGTCACCTCGTTATCTAAGCAGAGTGAGATGTTTATCTCAATGTGTAATAATTGTTTTATTGTAAGGACTGCCCCTATTTCTGGAGTGTATAAAAACTGTATTTCTGTTCAATAAAGTAGTTCCAGTTTGGCATCTAAGCTAGTCTTGTCTAGTATTGAGTGCAATGCAAGGTGGTCTGGAGGAATGTTTCTTCAAACATCCTCACCAACAGGCACAAGGACCTGGCATGGATGGAAATCCAAGGGGGGTTGCCTCTCAGGACATTTATGCATGCCAGGAACCTGAGCAGATACAGGCACTGCCCCTTCTGCATCATACACGAGGAAACGGCTCATCACGTTTTCTGGGAGTGCTCTTTTGCTCAGGACCTGTTGAGGGCCCTGGAA